GGGGGGGGGGGGGGAAGCAGCAGGGCTGGGGGAGCCCGGGACGGGACCTGACCTAGAGCCAGGGGTACCCCGAGATGGGTGGTCAAAGCGACTCCTCACTCGGATGTTCCGAAGCGAGTTTCTCGCTCCCTGGGGTGCCTGAACACGGTGTTTCCCGGGACTTGCAGCACAGCAGGGCAAGAGGGTCCTTGGCTCTCACCTGAGGAGACCAGAGCCCCTGGAGATGGGACAAGCTGGCTCCTGGCAGGTCACTGAGCACTTGGGATGTGAGGCAGAGGCGCTGGGGATGGAGGCAGCGACTGCCGTCAGGGCAAACACAGGAGAGCTCCTGTCCAGCCGCTCTCTGCGAGCATAAGCAGGAGCCGTAGGAACTCTGCTAGTTTGGGGTTAAAATAAAAAAAAAAAAAAAGAAGAAAAAAAAGAAAAAGCTATCAGAGCTATAAGATTTCTGATGGTTAAGGACAATTAATCGAAAGGAAATGAACTTGGTTCACCCCAGGGTCTAAGAACCCTCCCGATGGTCACAATTAAGATGCCTTGAGAAGTCTCGCTTCCAGGGGGGAGCCAACAAAGAGCTTCCCCCCCCATGGCCAGGGCGGAGGGGAGAGCTGGGGCTTTCACCAGGCACCGGCAGGAACAGCAAACCTCCCCCTCAGCTGCTGTGCTTCAGTCCTCTGCAGGCAACCTACTGCTAGGGGGAACGTTCACTTAATTTAAAGCTGTTTTCTGCAGGAACGTAACCACTTACCCAGTGTTCTTGGGCAGTTCATGCTTATCACTCTCATTATTTACCTTGCTGATACAGAAGCTTGCAGAAGGGACGTGTGCGGTTTTTCAGAATTAAAGAGGCAAGTGATGGAGGTAAGGGCTGCTAGTCAGAGGTAAGGTGTGAGGCAGAAAAACAGTCTCCCGACAGCTGTGAACATCCCTCCCCAGAAACTGCACTGGTTTAGCAGAGTGCAGTATCTGGGGATTTTTTGTTTGTTTGGTTTTTTTTTTTGTTTTCCCTCCCCTCTCTCAGCAGCACTTGTGTCTGCACAGGGATTTTCAAAACGCTGCTCATGGGCCCCATGCAGAACGACTCCAAATCTAAGAAACACCCCAGTGCCCAGGCTGCTGGAGGCACCGAGGATTTGACATTCTTAAAAGGGTTTGTTTTGATTTGTTGTGGGTTGGCTTTTTTTTTTTTTTTTTTTTTTTTCCTCTCTTGTGAGGGAGGGGAAGAGCAAGGGGAGGGCTCAGCCTTGGATCCAGGGCAGCAAGCCCTGATGCGGACAGCTCTCCAGCTGGGCTGAGGCACAGGATCGTTGCTATTTGGATGTTCACAGAAACCCCTTATACAAAAGGATCCAGCATACAAACAGTCCACGAGATACCAGACCAACTGTGAAACAGCAACGCCTCACACTAACAGCGCTTCAACTAGCTTCAAGGATTTATTTCTAAAATATGTCACAACCGGGTTAAAGCAAAAAGGTTGGTATTTGGTGAAGAAGCACTATCTTGCCTTCGTCAAACGTCTTATAAACTCCCAGAATCTTGATCTTTATATTTTGCAGGTGGAAAAATTAAGCTGAGAGGAACTTCCCAAGGAAACAGCCCCCAGAGCCCCCAGTCCCAGAACAGCATCCCATGGGCTACACAGGTTTCCACGCAGCACTTCAATGATCTGGGAATCTGAGGCACTGCCTCAAAGTAACCTGAATTCTAGCTTCTGGGGAGACTTGCTGAACCATCAGTTATCTAAATCATATTTGAAATGTGGGTCATGGGAACCAGTCACCCAGTTACTTCGGCGGCGGACTGCAGGAGGTGCACGCCTCGGGGCTGGGTTTCAGACCCTGGCCTAAGATCCATCCCTGGCTGCCAAGAGATCTGAGCTGTGCACATCACCGAGAGGATTTCTACATCTCCACGAGACTGTTTTAACTTTCATCCTTGACAGAGCTGAAGGGAAAAAATAAGGAACTTGGGAAGAATCATTTAGATTGAGGAACGCAGAGAGAGGGGAGTGTGTGTATTTAGTGACATATTCATAAACACCTCAAAAAACCTGGAATCCTGCTTTACCTGAGTCATGGTTCTGGACTTCTTCAAATACACAAGAGCAAAGCAGCTACTCCCTCCGCTACCACAGCTGCTCAGGACAGCCTCCTCCTCACAGGGCAGAGCTGTGAACACGCATCTCATCACAGGGAGACACTTGTGACCCCTCCGCAGGATGAGTCAGATCTCTTCGACAGTGCAAAAATGTTGTTTTCAAGGTATCTGTTTTTCTTTGCATCTAAAAAAAAAAAAAAAAAAAAAAAAAGAACAAAACCAAAACCAAACCAACCCCCAACCAAGCTTTTCCACGTGAATCTCAGCTCCAGGGCAAACATGCTCCAGTCGCTGTGGCCCTTTCCAACAAGGGTGGGTTTCTTGAAAGCAGACTGGGAAGCTGCTCCCCAACCCACCTCCTGCTGGGTAAGGGGATCTTCTCCCTTTCTGGGCGCCTTCACCCCTCCCTGAAGGGGTAAAATCAGCAATTCAGGCTACAGAGAGCAGGGGTTTATTTGCAGGCAGTCAGCCAAGTATTTAGTTCTGTAAACAACTTAAGTAAATTCCTGCTGCCCCATTACCTCACCTTCATACTTCCCCACTGGTTTACTGCATTTATTTAAAAGGAAGTAAAATATATGAGAAGAATAGAAGTGACTCAGGTTTTAAACAGTTTGTGGAGGTTGGTCCAAACTCAGAGGAGGAATTTCTTCACAAAGCGGGCAAAGATTTTGACAGATAAACCAGACCCATGTGTACCACGTAGGAGATGGGCCAAATGCTAATTACTGAGTGAAAAAAAAAACAAAACAACTCAAAGAGTCCCAACTGGTTTCTTCAACTTCCTAGTGTATCACACTCAGCTGATCTTGCTGGGGGTACTTCTGCTTACAGCTCAATATAGCACGTGCAGGGGAACCCCACAAAACCCCCGAGGCTGAAGCTAGGGATGATGTTTGCACAACCCCTTATCTCCATGTGATGACTCCCATGCAGTTTCGCCACAAACATTTTAGTGGCACCTTAGAGCAGCTTCTTGCAATTTCTCAGTAACCTGCCCTTTCTAAACAACCGTTGAACCGCTGGTTCTGCGTGGTGCTGACATTTGGAAAATGCTCCCCAAGAACAGGATCCACAAGACAACCTTTCAGCAGATCAAGCGCCCCCACTGCTGCTCCAGCACCCGCCTCCCATCCCCTCCTCCATGGCCAGAAGCCACACACAAGTGCTCAAGTTATGAAGTTCTTTGCTTAGAAAAAATAGTTAAAAAAACTGAAAAAAGTCATTATATATAATACAAGAATAAACAAGGTAAAGCCTACAAGACTACACCAAAAAACCCCCCACCCCTGTTATACAAATAACACATTAAAACATGAAGATGTAAAAAGAATTATGAGAATGCTTCATTTTAAAGATAATTCCAGATACGATTTTATTCTGAATTTTACAAATAACAAGCATTTTTCTATAAAAAAACCCCTAGGGTAAGAATCAATTTAGTTACATCTAGGAATATTTACATTCTCAGAAGACATTTCTGGATCTTTCTATATACAAGGCTGTGGGCATTACTGAAGTACCCCCAAAAGCAGTGTAAGGCCTTATGGTGCCCAAGTCGATTCGATGCTTTAAGAAAACCGTCTGCAACTGCTACGATGAAGGTTCTAGTCTACAAATACTGGAATAAAAAAATTTGTTCGCGGAGACAGTCCCATCCGTTTCCTCACGTGCTTACTGTGCTCACGTGCGCAGACCCCTGGAGAGTGTTAAAAAAAGAAGAGCCCCTCTGGGTGAGGATTTACAATAGAACCAGCTGTAAAACAGAGATGGGTATAACCCGTGTTAATCCCAAATCCCATGGGATCAGCCATACAGTAGTAGCATGATCACAGCTCAAAATGGAAGTCCTCTGAAACAAACAAACAAACAAAATATGTATTTTTACAGTGTAGTTCGGCGCACAGTGAAAATGTTCCAGAACACCTCACAGGCAGCACGCTGAGAGCAGTTTTGTGTGGAACTACGAAGGGGTTGTGCAGTTAAAAGAAGATGATTAAGCATTCAGAACCCAATCCTTTGCTTGATTTACTGCAGTCCCAATTCCCTGGGCACTGCACCACCTCCCTGAGCTGCCACCTTCCACACGGTACCTTGGGAACCAGGGAGGAGGCGTTCACACCTCCTACCAGAAGCAGTGTCGGAAGCCATCCAAAGCTGCCTGCTTCTGAAAGATGAAATACTACACAGTGCTCACGCGAGCATTACATTCACTGTCAGGAGTCAGAGAATCCAACAAATACAGACTGTGGAGCATCGCAAGAAATTAGGGTGAGTGATTTTGAGTATTTTTCCACTTGCAAGCAAAGAAACGAAAGTCACAGGATTACGCAACAAGCCCAAGATGATGAAAGCAGTCGGTCTAAGAGCTGGAAAAGAAGGGATCCCAGTTCCCAACTCGAGGCCATATGCTGTTTTCTGTGGTGAAGATACCATAGTATGCTTTGTTCTCTAGCAACAGAGAATTTTGCCTAGCCAGATAATTTTGCATAACCCGTACTGCTGCTGTAATACAGGTCATGGACACCAAAACCATTCAGTGTTTCCCAGGTGAAGGTTAGCCTGAATGTCAAAGTCTCTATAATCTTCCTCTGTAGTACAAGGAGCTCGCAGGTTTATCACAACTCCTCTTTCAAAGGCAAATTCTGTCCCTTCTCCCTTACAAAGTGTCACTCGCCACTTCTTGGAGGACAACAGGAGCAAAAGGCTTTCCCAGAGAGCAGGTCCTTCCCCACCAGCCACCACACTAGGCAAGATTCATGTTTAGGCATGGTCCTACACCTATCAACTCTTCCCAGAAGGGACCATCTGTGTGTGACTCCACCACGAGGCTGAAAAAAGCATGTCCCACACGGACCATGACTCACAGCACAGCCCTGCAGGGGGGTACGTGAACAAAACATGTCTCAAAAATGCAAAGTTCCAGTGGTCCATTTAGGGCAGAAAGTCAGACCCAATCCCGCTTCACACCAGAGGAACGCAAAGGGCCGTGCCAAGACGTGTATTTATGACAGTGTGGCCCCCGGCAGACGCCCCTCGAAACCCTGGGGCTTTATTCTGCAGCTGCATCTGCAGCCACACGTGGAGCTGCAAACCTCACCCATCACCAGCACGGATGCCACTCTAAGATTTGCCAACGACTGGACCAGGTCCTTTCATCCGCATCTCATTGGCACAGATCAGATCACCTACCAGTATTAAAACATTCCCTCCATTTCCTCTGGATACCTAGTAGTTGCATTCTGCCCAGCCACTAGAACATGCTCCTTGTTTTAGAGATAAACTTGAAAAGAGTAGGATAAAAAAGTAAATAAAAATTCACCCGGTTTGCTACATTAAACATACTCTACATTTCTGACTCATACTTTTTGTTTTTAAAAAGATAAGCAAGTTTGGGGTTTTTTTTGACACAGAAATTACCATTGTGTTTTGTAGTATTAGTCATAACCAGGAAATCCCCCAAATTGTCTGAATTTAAAAAAAAAACAAACCAAAACCCACAACAATAAAAAACCCCCCGAAAAATCTTTAGTAAACATCAAAATATTTAAACATTCAAGAACAAAAGTCTCACTGTCAAGGCACATACCTGGATAAAACAGTGGATTAACAGCTAAATCAGACATTAACTGGACTCCGGGGTTTAGGACAGGAATTTCCATGCTAGATCATGTATCAGGCAAGCACGTATCTTACATTTCAGGATATTTTCTGAAACTGTTTACAGGAAGAGACTTATGGGCCACTGTTGTTTACCTTGGCAAATTCATTAGAAGGAAGTTGCAGCTAAATGTGTTCTGTCTCAGATTCCTGCGGTTATTAGATAATTCTTCTACAACACAGAGAAAAGAAGCTGCTTCTAAACGTTCCAGTTCCTAGAAATAAGGTTTACAGAGAAAAATATCCATATCGAGTCTTAGAACATACTCTTTTGTTTGCAACGAATATTTCAAAAAAAAAGAGGTGGCAAGCCCAACAAATTGTATCATGCCTTTTGGGCAGGGGAGACCGGCTGTTACATGCTCTCTCCTGACATGTATTTGCTCATGTCAAGGCTGTGCTATGGTGCGCAGCCAGGCATGCAAAAATCCAAATTCTCCAGTTTTGCACTAGCTTCAAATCACAGGGTGCCTTTTAAACACACCTGCCAAGGGCCTGTCCACCTATGAAACAGGGGCGACACCGAACCTGCCCAAACCTTTGGATTTCTCTCCTCCAAAGAACTGATGCTAATGCTAAAACTGTGTTTCTCTCTATTATTCTCTGACCTGGGGACACTGGCCAACTTCCTGCTGCATCCCGAAATTAAAATACTAAATGATATAGGTGAGAAAATGCAGGGAAAGCGGAGCAAACCCTAAAGCTGAAAACCCTGGTAGGAAGGGTTTAAACACCCCAAATCACCATAGTCTACCCAGTGTTTTCTACTCACTGGTTTCTAGGACAAACACTCTGGAGGGCAGACATCAGTCCAACTGCAGGAGCCAGCTGCCAAGGTCGGGATACGGGGTATTGATTAACGAAAGGCTGGAATCAGCCACTGCCACCAATGTATTCAAATACAGTCGGAAAATGCAAAACTCCCACGACCAGCTGCTGCAGCAGAGAAAGGCCCCTACCAGCTCTGGCTACAAAGGTTTAGATGCTGTTTATTAAGTCTCTACAAGACAGAACGAAACACAAACAAGTGCCACAAGAGAGAAAGCTTTCACCGCTCACATCTGTCAAAATATAATCAGAATAGCACAAACGAGACTGGGTGTAGGTAAATATTGTATGTATCTGAAGAAACACAGGTAATCCCAAGTGTGCTTCCATGACCCAAGGAACAATTTCTTGGCAGACTGTTAACAAGATTTGTTTGTATTTAAAAAAAACCCCAACTAACAATTTGAAAACAATTCACTGATTACACCAGTTAAGTGAAAGAACAGACCTCACAGCAATCATACAGTTGGCACCTGAGAATCAAGAACCAGTGGTCAGAAATAAATCCTGAATTTTGTTCTCAGTACATTCCACCATGAGGTCAATGCAGTGGCACAGATCAACACAAAAATTTATCTCTAAATATATTAATTGTGTGCGTGTGTACGTGCACGTGTGTGAAAAGCACAGAATGAAGAATTGTTTGTCATCCAAATTGCAGAGATGACAAACAACTTACTCCTAAAACTTCCACTATGCATCAGAAGGGAGAACCCCGAACTGACACCACTCCCTCCACACACAGATGAAACCTTCTGTATCATTTAAAAGAAAATACGACCTGGAAACAGGCCACATTCAGGGTCAGATGTAAACAACTTGACCATACGGGCACAGTTGAAAACCAGCGTTGGAATCAAGTGAATTTTGCGAGCAAAACTTCAGTGCTGCAAATACTTTGTGCAAGACAACCCTTTCAAGCTACGTTGAGTTAGAACATAGCGAGTTAGAATTAATTGTCCAAAACCTCTGCATCTTTCTGAATGTGGTAACAAATTCAGCACGTGCAAAATCGTTTGAGTGGGATCAGGGAGAGGCTTGTTCTCATAATCTTCACTACAATAAATAAGTTTCCTGTCCAGTGACAGAAGTCAAGGAATCAAAACCAAATAGCAGCTTTTCCCGGCAATTTTTACTTCTTGATGTGCATTAGCTCTGGAGAAGGTTCACTGAAGAATCCAGGTACCCTGCCAGCCCTTGAACTCATTTTCAAGTATCTTTCAGCTGAACCATACACTTAAAACTTACAAAAGATCAATCTGATACTGTTCCATGGTTCTACTGCGTTAGAACAACTGTGGCTGAAAAATCTCACTGAAGGCTATACAGTATTTATGTTCATATAAAAAGAGAATGTATGGAGCACAGTGTTTAAATTAATAAATAAGGTTAAAATTACAGAAAACAAAGTGTTGCCACTAGCCCTTTCTAGAACGAATATTAGACAAGAAGTCCATTTAACTTTCAGTCCACCAGGAAGTACACAGGAGTTTCATCAAAAAGCTGTGCTTTTTAAAATCTCTGGATTTTCTTCTTCCTCCTTGGAATCCCTTGTGCTACTAGATGCAGGCCTGAATTCTAATCTGGGGAAAAGAAAAAAAAAAAAGAAAAGAAAGAAAAAAATAACTTAAAGAAATATATGAGAGAACAGAAAAAAAAAAATCTTTGATATCCTGAGCCCTGTTTGACATTACAGCCTCCTCATTTTAATGCTGCCTTCAGTTGGGCAGGTCCCTTCCTTACACCAGGTGTATGTTTATGTGCCATCTTTAACCAGAGCCGTGGCCAAAGGCTGAATGCTCACATGCCTTTTTAGGTCAGTTGAACTGAACTGGAAGAGTTCAGCCCTTCACCAGTACTTCTATGACTTTCAGAACCTAGAAAGATAGATTATAACCTACCAAGTGTCCCTACACCTTTATAAAGCAATACACTTTATGCCTTCCTTGTATGTACTTTTATTCAGTCCTCAGAGCAAGATGATCAATTTGGAGCCAAGAGCGGTGCATATGAACATACACACTTGGGAAGAGGGGCCAGGATTCCAGCCAAGCTCTTGTACCTTCAACAGAGCACTAACTATATTCCCTCTGACAATACCTAGGCAAGTCCACTCTTCTTGGAATAGAGAGCAGATGGGTTAAGATTGGAAGGTAACACTTACATTTTCACCATCAGCATTTGCTCAATCGTGTCCGGAAGAGGCATACCGTAGCTTTCTGGCAGAAATAAAGTCAGAATTCCTGATAGCACAGTCAGGCTCCCCATCAGGATGTAAGGCAGGAATCGATCATAGGCACCTAGCAGAAGGGGAAAAAAAAAAAAAAAAAAAAAAAGCTAGCATCAGTCCTAAGTCTCCAGTAACATTTGTACCTAGGTACAGGGATTTATCTGTGCAAGATGGCAGTAAAAAACAAACCACCCCGCCTCAGAGTCTGGTATCCAAGGCCTATGTTGTTATAAATGTGGTTTTAGTAATTCAAGAGACTTGGAAACAACAGCCAGAAGAGCTGTCCCTGCTGAGTCAATAATATTGTGAGTCTTCAGAGCACCTCTTCAACCTCAGGGCACAAACCACCATTTCTCCACATTATGCCCATTCCTCAGACATGCTGAGACCCCACTTCTACCTCCCAGTTTCACAAGACACCTGGACCTGGAAACAGAGAACAGCAGAAAAGGCCAACACCCCAGAGACAGGACACTGGTTTTGGGTAAAAAAGCATCGCTTTCCCCCCGCACGGCCTAGTTAACTTACCGAGGTAAACGAAGTAAGGCGAGAGGATGCTGCCCAGTCTAGAGGCCATGGAACTTGCTCCAACTCCCATGTTTCTCACCACTGTTGGGTAGAGCTCAGCCGTGTAAACATAAACCATTGAGAAGGCTGACGTGATCCCAAATTTCCCTATCATCACCAGCAGAGTAGAAAGTGCACGAATATCTGAAATTAAAACACAGTTAAGGACCTCAGTAAAGCCCTGACCATTCATGGTATCTCTTAATTCCATTGTGTTTGTGTAACTCCTGCCTAATTAATTCCAGTATCTTGTACATTTTTTTTCCCTGTACATGTCTACAAGCACAGGCAACGTTTTTTTAATTTTTTTTTTTTTAAAAAAAACTACCAGGATTCAACATTTTCATTTCCTCTTGAGCATGGGGCTTCCTGCCAAACAAAAAATAAGAACAGAGGAAGAAACACAGAGGTCCTCTCAGATTTCAGGGGCTAGATCTCTGCTATTGTAAACAATGCCATATATCTCTTTTAAATAAAGCAAACAAAGTTAAAACATTTGAAACAAGTTATTTTTGGTTTCCTGCTCTGGTTTTTCATTAACATTCCAAGCTACAAGTCAATAATGTAATTATAGGAAGCTGAGTGGACTTTAGCTGGGACAGATTTGAAAATCAAAACAGATCGTATCAGTGTCCAATCGACTCAAAGGACAGGAGGAAAAAAAAAAAAAAAAAAGCAGCATGTAGTTTACCTGTATAAAATAAGCAAGGCAGTTCTTAGGCCTTCTCTTTTGTTTGTTCTTTGATTTGTAAACACGTGCTAAGCAACAACACTCCCCACCATGTTCAACATCATTATCAGTAACGGCTCCATAACCCTATTAATCTAATTCGCCTAAAGATACCTATGGTTTGGTAATCAATAAATGTTATTTTGCCCTCCTTTCCAGTTGCCAAACATTATTTTAACTATCAACACTAATTCTGTACAAGCATCTTTGCTCATCAAAAATGCTTCCACAATGACTCCCTTGGGTGTAACTGTTTAAACAAGCCCTGAAGAGACAAGTCATTGACAGCTCTTTGGGAATTAAGTTCTGCAGCCTCTTGGTAACCTCTGCTTAGCAAATTCTGCTTGGCCTAGTCCTGGTTTTACACTTGGACCTTGCCAGGAATGTATATTAAACACAAAACTGGCCTACAATGCTAATCCCAACAGAACACAAAGCCAATGACACACCCATAAAAAAAAATATCTATCTGAACTGACATGTTGGGTGAGCTCCTTGTGCAGTCGCACTGAGAACCAAGGAAGAGGGGCAAAGCTAGGAAATTCCTATCTGTATTTAGTCCCTTCAGGACACTTTTCCTCCACATCTGCCCAGTGCGTGGTACTGCACCTCGCCTATCGTACATATTCGAGATGAACTAACGATTCCATACGTGAAGGCACCAGCTGAATGAAGAGAAGAACACAGCCTCCCAAGAATAACGCAGCAGCCATTGAATACCGTCGAGGGAGATTTCGAAGCAGCAGCCAGGAAATAATGTAGGCTGGAACTTCAGTCACCGCCGAGAGGAAACAGTTCAAATACACGTCTCCATGCAAGTTAGGTGTGTCAAGAGAAAGTCCAAAATAACCCACAGAGATTATCATCCTGAAAGAAGCAGAATAACAGAATCAGACAAATCTCTCTTCTTCCTGAGGTTGCCAAGAACCTTTCACATCTCCGTTAGGCACACAAATCGCTATGTGAGACAAATCCAGCGTCTGCCAGATTCGTTCACCTCTGAAGCAGCTGAAAGAGCTGACTTCAGAAACCGCAAGATAACAATTAAACAGCGCTGACGCTTTTTATGGTTCAAGATAGCCCTGAATAAAATACATTTTAAAATTTAAGAATAGCCTATTTAGCGTTAACACCATCAGGTAACCCCAGCGCTGTCACTAGCCTTGCGGAGGCGCAGGCCTACGAGCCCACGGCCACGGGTACTGGATGGTCCTGCAGCTACAGAGGTCATACTTCTTTTCAGATGCCACTGCATGACTTTGCAACTGTCCATCTCACTCTCATTCAGATCTTGCAAGGAAGCTCTGGGTCTCTGTCACTTTTAGACATCTCATTTGTCCCTGCTAGTCGTGCTGATGAAGAGCTGACTACTTTTTACATATGCCTCCATATTTTAGGTCACCCTGTTGTGAGCGTTCACAACACAGTGACAGAGCACTTCCTATCAGTAGTAGTTACAGCCTTAGCATGAAAGTTTGGACTACTGAATTTTATTTTACTGCTGCTGAGGCCTACAGTAGCTTTTCATTATGTTTACCCGGGAGCTCTGGGTGGAGAACACTGTTTCTGGGTTGCTACCCTCCATGCTTTGTGTGTAAGTCAGAGAGGAGGAGTATGGCATCCTGGCAGACCCAAACAAGCCAGGATTTTCTCCGCCATGCCCCAAGCTGGCCGGGCAGCATCCAAGTCACGTTTGCATGGCTCGGTGCCTGGGTTGGTCAGTGCAGCAGGACAGAGCTCGGTGGCCAGGAACTCTGCCATCCTAATTGTGCTGCTGCCAGATGAGAGCTGGCTTCCACATCATCAAGGGGAACACACAACTGGCCTTGGAGGCAAATCCTGTCGTGTCTTGGGAGATGCCGGGAGAAGGAGGTTACGCTTCACCAACACGTAACACATGGTAAACAAGGAAATAACAGGCACTGGATCAGGATGTGTCCAGGTGCAACAGTGAGGCACAGACCACTCAGCACTTTATCTCCTTCAGCATCTGTGTTAGAACAGAACCTGGAGCAAAATTAGCTCTTCCTCCTCCTCACTTCACACGGGAAGAGCCTTCACGGTCCAACTGTTTAAAACAAGTTTTCTAGTGTACCTGGGAAGGTATGGAGCCATACAGCTGAGGGTAACCCCCTGCTGCTGCGTGCCCTGCCAGCTATGGTTATTCTTCTCAAAATTAATCATGCAGTGTTTTCCACAATGCCATGCAACCCGCCCAGCCTCTGCTCCTGGGAGTTATTTTTATATGCAATAAACTGTGCTCACTGGAACTGACTTTCAGTAGCAGTTTGCCTTAGCTTATCACATTGGCAAACCTTGATACAGTTATAAATTTTCTAAGAAAACTTGAAGCCAAACTTCCTCCTCCCTGATGCAAACTCAGCGAAGGGGTTAGTTTAAAGGCCTGTTACTTAAAATTAACAAAACACCCAGCAATACGTAAGGGTGATATACTGCTATCTGCCACTGTCCTCTTTTACAGAGCTTCTTTTATGAGATCTTTCAATTCATAATGCAGAATATACCACTGGTATGCTACGGGCTGGAAAACACTGCTGAGTTAGTACAAGATGCTCTGTATTTTGGGAAATTCATTAAAAGGAGGTTGGACAACTGGCACACAAGGTAAAAATAGTAGGAAAATTGCCCAAATCAGCCAAATACACGAGGAGGTATGATCGTCTAAGTCAGTTGCACACATTTGACTTGTCCTGCCTACCCTAAAACTTAATTTATCGTGTGGCAAAAAGCCCTTCAGCAGATGGAACGGATTACATACTGCCACACCATTGCTTCCCTCGGATGCTCTGTCCTACCAGGAATGCTGTTCAAACAGGTTTTCCATTTGCTTTCTACAAACACACACACACACACAAATCAGCTGTGCCTAGGAACTCGCTACTGATCTACTCCATGCAGATTAGAAGTTGGGCCGTCTCAGTTCTCCAGCTCAGTTCCAATTAAAGGTGAGAGAATTGGACTTGGAGGTAAGACAACAGCAAATGGAAATTGTACTGACATTTTTGCAAAGAACCGACACTACTTCTCTTTTTTTTTTAAGCTGTTTTCTGCTCAAGTTCATTTCTCAGCAAGTTTGTAACATTGAGCTTGGTGATGGGCAAGGAAATCTGGCTTAAATATTAGCCAAGTCATCCTTTGACCCAAAAAGCCACATCAGCTTGTATGCACTGGTGGCTCCGTGGACTGGACTCCAAGGCTTTCCCTCACTAAAACTGAGGAACATTGGTCAAAAAGACAGCAAATAGACTTAGCTCCCAAGAACTGGAGGGACCTTACTGGTTAGGACACTGTAGGTACATGCAGTAATTAAACCTCACTTTTATAGCCTCAGGTTACTCTCTCCATTTTCTCTTTTCTCGACAATTATAGCTTCACTGAGATTTCCAGCAGAGGACAATGACACCCATTTAATCAAATTGAGCATAAAGTATGGTTTCAGCTAGTGCAAAACCAAGCTAAAGATGGCCGGTAGACAGAGCAGCTAGCAGGAAAGTCTGATTAGAACTTCAAAGGCAGCTTTATCCCTTTAAGAGACAATACAAACGAGATGGGAGGATCACCCCTGTAAGTCAGGCATGGCTGTGTTCAGACCGCTGGGCAGCAGTTCTCTCACTGGGAGAGCGCATGACTCATTCCTCTTACAAGACTTTGTTACAGTCAGATGCAGATTCCCCAAGGCCCAGGATCAGGCAGGATTCCCACACATCACTGCCAGCTGATCTGATTCTTGCTCAGTTCGGGGTATGCTTGACTGCTTCAGAAAGAACAAACAATCCAGATGTGTTTCTAGACTGTTACTGAAACAAAGAATCTACATAACCAGAATTTTGTTGCTCCAGCCAGCATGCTGCTTTTTGAGCTGGTTTTATCCGTATCTCTCCAGAATACCTGAGCGTTCAACAAGCGGGTTCTAATTGTTTGGCTGCTTTTGTGTTGACGTACTCCTGAATCACACTTACCAAAGAATCACTGACATAATTGTGATAGTTAGGATATTTCGGGTTTTCATTAGATCCAAAATGGTGTATGTCTGTTGTTTCTGGGAATTCAAATCTTGCATCTGGAAAAAAAAACACAAACCCACCAAACAAAAAAACATGGGAACGTTAACTTCCTGCAAGTGGAATTACTGTGAAGGTAAATCCCCCCCAACTTATAGATCAGTATTTTGATACGCTGCAGAGCTGAAACAGGTGCCTCACTTTTAATCAAACACATAGAAGCCACAAGAGCCAACAGGTTTGTCAAAGTAGTTGCTCCTCCCTCATTTAAAGTCACTTAAAATTTAGTCTGAAATTGGCAATATTTTTCTCTGCCTGAGGTGTAACAAAGCAACTGTTTGTTGTTCCTTTTACACTTGAATTACAAAGCCACAGCGTTTACATGTCACTTCTGCCCAGTTTTGAGCAGTACGCCTCGAGGATCATGCAAAGCAACTGCACCCAGACAAGAAGAGAGCAACAAGGATGAGGAGACATGTGAAAAACATGATCTGTAGAAGCAGAGGGTTTATTTAGCCTAAGGGCATCTTAACAGACTAAGAATGGTCTTCAAAGATCCACAAAAAAAAAAAAAAAAAAGGTGATAAACTGTCCTCTATGTCTACTGCAGGCAAGGCAAGAAATAAGATTAAACTGCAGCAGGACAGATTTAATAAATGACTGCTCATGCTTGACCTAACAGTAATGTATTTAAACTGAGACAAACTGGCTAAGGAGCTGAAGAGTCCCCATCATGATTTAGCCTGGTTTTGGGATCTTCTAAGAATATAAGCAAAAAGACAACAAGTTTCTCCTATCCCTATGAAACTTTCCAGCTCCTCAAAATAAAACTACTTCCATGGAACAATGCAAAGTTATTCATCAGTAAAGCATGTGAACAAGTTTTATGCTTGATTGTAAAAAAGGAAAAAATTTTTTTTTTTTTTTTTTTTTTAAAGTTTAGACCCCTAACAAGGAGTAACAAAGGAGAGATCTTTCAAAATATGTAAAAGGTGATTTAAGAGGACAAGTCCCATTCATTAAAACTATCAACTCTGATAAAGCAATGCTATGGCTGAAGCACCCCAGTTTTCTACATACGTCATATTTTTGTTATCACAAAATATGTTTTCAGGATTTATCACTGGTTACTTAAAAATACCATTAAATTGATGAGTAACAGTTAGAAATCCAACCGAGAAAGAAACAAGCATCCACCTTAGCAGGTCAAAATTCTCAAATAAAAAAAGTAGTACTGAAATATTTAAAATGTTGACACTTTTTGAACTGTAAGCAGCCAAGACACCTCACAATATTTAAGTGAAGACTTCTCTTTCCACAACCAGGAGAATCACTCTTGCCTGACAGACCTCTATTATGTGCAAGCACAATAAACTGTACACAAAGATTACTTCCTCCCTTGGTTTTTCAAGTCAGAGTGACCTGAGTATGTCAAATTAAATTTCAGTACTTTTAAGAAGTGAATGCCTTTTGCTGGCACTGTGTACTCCTTCATGGAATGTGCAAATGGTTATCAATAAAAGTAAACTATGACTGCAGCTTCAAAATAGTGGAATTACTCACTACTTTCAACTTTTCTGAACTCTTTGCCCCCGGTCTAATACACCATCCTTTACTCTGTATTAGTTCAACTTACAATACTTTTCTCCTTAAATCAGGCTGGTCCAGCAGAAGTAGCTGGATGTATTGCAGGACACAAGACACCAATAAAGAGACAAAAGGAACCATAAGTTTAACTTATTTCCTCATCAACCTCCCTTCCATATTCACTTACAGATGTTTCTTTTGGCAAGCTATTGCTGGACACTGATTTTGGGTCCTTAATTCTTGTTCCTCAACTCAAAAGACACATTTATTTCCTCAATGTCTTGTATCTGAGCTAATGGGAACATGAAGCTCAGGTAACCCCTGCAGTCAGGTGAAAATTTTTTTCCCCGAGTGGTATTTTTTATTCTCCAGGTTTTCAGAACAAGTCTGATGTTCGTGCAAACCTCAGTGTATCTGCTTTCAGAAATCTTCACTTCCTACAAGAGGCAAACAGTTCTTTACAGTTGATAGCTTTCACTGTGCCTCAAGCCCAGCCTCCACCACACAAACTGCAGTCGGCTTTACAGCTCACAGCCCTTTCTCATAAATCACATGATCTTTCCTAAGTACTCTCCAGTTTTGCCACTATTTGTTGCCAAGAAACCAGCAAACAGGAAACAAAAAAAAAAAAAGGAGAAAAACCAAACAAATTACAAAACAAAATCAGGAACAGTAAAATTCAGAGAGTCACAGTTGATGAGAAAAAAAACCCACCCTGCCTTTTAGGAGCTGGATGTGCAGACAACATAATCCTTAACAGGACAGGTTAGAACAAGCAGCTGTAAGAAGGGCAGGGAGGGCAAAATGGTGACTTGAAATCAGACCAATTATCCTCAAATTAATCTCTGACAATTATCAAGACTAAACTGTGATGTATAAAAGCTTTGATTGTGCTTTGCTTCATTTGTTTCTCAAGGACTCTTGACTCCTCAACTGTTTCCTGAGGTCCCTTTGTTTGTTTAGGTAAGATTGAAACCCTCGTTAGGCTCCTGTAAATCACTGAGAGCAGACCCAAGGCCTTCAGTGGACACTTGGGCAACTCCTAGAATGCGAAAACTAAGATAAGGGAGAACTCGAACAAAGAGACACAGAGACCCTGTCCTAGGGAGGATGATTCTGCTGATTTAGGAGGGAGGCACCTGGACTTTCCTTCACAGCGCATGCTCTGGAAAGAGGGTCAGCCAGCGAACACCGTGAAGAAGACCGCTTACTTCCTCCCTCGCCCACCGAAGACCCTCACCCTATTTTCACTACGCATGCTCAGACTATGTAAGTGAATTCTGGGAACTCATTATTGTAAGACACCGCTTTCGAGGAAATCCAATGAATATATATGATTTGTGTCTACGTAAACTGGTGTCCCTTACTAATTCTTGGGGGCCCTTGTGGCGGAGAATCCCCAGGGTGACCTCGGCACTGCTAATAAAGAATACCTGCTTAACAGGAAAAAAAAAATACTGTTGAGTCCATTTCTTTGTTTCAATCCAAACAGTTCTATCCCCTTCACAAGGGATAATTCAGCCAAGCAGGCCCTATCTGTGCTCTGCAGCTTGTCTGCGACTAGTCACCTGCTGGATCCTAACTGGTTTTGAAATCTCCCGAACCTAAATATTGCAGGTGCTGCTCTCCAGCTGCACGGAGCCAAGGAATCCTCGGAGCAGGAGCTTGGGTTGCTTCTCCATCCAGAACTCACGTTCCAACTGCACGATGGCTAAGGGCCAGCCGGATTTCTGAGAACCAGTCTGCAGTGTAAACATGTTTCCTAAAAACTCAAGAGAGGCTGTGAGCCTTTGCTTCACAGCTCTTCAGAAAGCTGACAGAACAGCATAAACTGACCACTGATGAAGGAAAGTTCTGCACAAACTTTTCAGTCACAGCATTCCTTTTATCGTAGAAATGGTTTGGGCAGGAAGGGACCTTAAAGATCATCCAGTCCCACTCCCCTGCCCCGGGCAGGGCCACCTTCCACCAGCCCAGGTTGCCCAAAGCCCCGTCCAACCTGGCCTTGAACCCTGTCAGGGAGGGGGCAGCCACAGCTCCTCTGGGCACCCTGTGCCAGGGCCTCACCCCCCTCACAGGGAACAATTCTGCCTTACATCTAATCTAAATCTACTCTCTTTCAGTTTAAAGCCATTATTCCTTGTCCTATCATTCCATGCCCTTGTAAAAAGTCCCTCCCCAGCTTTCCTGTAGCCCCTTTAAGTCCTGAGAGGCCACTATAAGGCCTCCCCAGAGATTTTCCTTCTCCAGGCTGAGCCCCAACTCTCTTGTCTTCACAGACATACTTTATTTCAAAAAGACAAGACAGGCTTTACTTTAAGAAAGAAAAAAAATGGCCAGGAATTCTGGTTTTTAAACAGCACCCCATCACTGAGTTCATTTTCCCTTGAGTATCAGAATATTAATCTGTGTTTCTGAAAGCCGACATGCAATGATTTATCTGTAAATAAGCACCATGTACTTCAGCCCACCCTGATGCCAAGGTCAGCATTTCCCCTTGTCCACTGTTCCCTGGTGCAACACCCCTACTCTTGCCCCTGCCTTCTGCTGCTCCATAGTCCAGCCCCACTCAGAGATGGCAAAGAGATCAGTATTTCTTTCTAAGAACAGGCGACAGAGGACTCCAGAAACAAGGACCTTAAGCAGATGTTGGAGCCAGAGTCTATTTTCCATTCTCCTAGTGCAGTGCTGGCAATAGGCAAGTTTTTATGCCTACAGCATGAGAAAGCAGAAAAAAAAAAACAGGAAAAAAGCATGTTCTAATGAAAATCCAGGGGGAAAGCTTCATAAGAAGGTCTGGGTTTTCCTAGAATTCTGTCTGTTCCAGCAAGACCAGAATGTCTGTCCTGCTATCTGTAAATCTGAACAAACAGCTTTGTTTGCACCTTGGCTAACTTCAAGTGAAGCTGTTTCCATCTCAGTAGCAGACACACTACAGTTTAATGGATAACCACTCTCCTTCACCCGGTACAGAGGCCTTGTAAAGCAAGTGAGTATACAAGGGATTTTCCCAGAAATGACAAGATAATGTCAACTGTCAGCCAGAAAACAACAGGGCAACTGCCCAGGCAGATTCTACAGATCTGCCTAGAGAGGTGCTCAGTCTCCTGGATTATGCAAACAGTTTGTCTGTCTGACTTTTGGAGGTCATGCCTGAATGAGCGTGGAACTTTTTCCACATCTTAAGGTCACCAAAGAGCTCAGGGAAAGGGGAAATACCTAGAGGAAACACCTAGAGGAAACCAGACTGTGTTGGAAGAAACAGAAGGGGAAGAAAAGATACTGCTAGCTAATCCACCCTAAAGGGGCTTAAATTTTGCTTTTCTTAATGTGGAGTAGAAATGAGAGTTAAATATGGAGTTGAACTAGAATAACATCATTTCCAGTTCCACTGGCCAGGACTAGTCCTGTGTTAGACTTTTACAGAACTGTATTAGACTGCACAAGCATAAAATCTGTTCAGTGCAAGCGTAGATCACAAAGCAGTAGGTACCTCAAATTCATTGCCTTCCCCCCAAAAAACAGTTTAAAAGGAAAAAAGTGGCTGTAAACTGGAACAAAAAGATGTTTGGATTAAAATGATATGTTGGCATTCCCACAGGAACGGGCCAGCAAAGGCTTTGCAAATCTCAATGAAGCAGGGAAAGGGTATTCTGCTTCTCAGGGAAATGATGACCTTTTGTGCATTTGAGAAGTACATAATATGCTGCGGGCATAACGCGATTTGTACGTCTGGAAATTAATCACTTTACATGGTCATTGACAGGGCCAGCCAACAACTGGACTGTTAGAGGAATCTTACCTCACTAGGGTCAAGTATTACATCCGGGGCCGTAATGCCGTTCATTTTTGCAGCCTTTCGGATGATGTCTTCTGCCTCTTGAAATCTTCCCTGGGAGATCAACCACCGTGGAGATTCCGGAATGACCCTGGAGAAAAGGTTCAGAATAACGAGCCTACATTTCCAGGAAAAGCACTGCTGTAGGCACCAACACACATTGTTCCAGGCCTGAATTGCTCAAAACTTGCCGTATCTTGCAGAAATTAGAGGAATGACAACAGAAGTCAGATTTACAAGAGCAGACTAGCATCCTGAACAAGAACAGACTAAAATGCGTTTGTGGATTTTTAGAAGTACTAAAGAAATAAGCAATGACTCAGAAAAAAAAAAAGTAAACAGAATCTTCAAAGTATGGGAAAAGTTTAATTAAAGAATTTCTGAAATATGACACACAAGCAGCATGCATTAAGAGGCATATCCTTAGAGAGTAACACATATAAAATTAGTAACTGTAAATACTGTCAGACAAAGGCAAGTCAGAAAGCAGAATTTGCCTGAGTCATTCAACTCTGTAAGAAACTGGATGGACTCACAAACCAATGCTAGTGTAAGTGAAGAAACACCACCACCATGTGGTCTATTGAAACATTACATGGCACCTAAACAGTATTCATGAACTATGGAAGAGAACACAAGTCCCACAGATCTGACAAGTTACAAACCCCAGTATGTGCACATCTGTGTCACCCTAACGTTGCCCAGCTTCCCAAAACAACTGGTTCCTCATTCTGCCCTTAGTTCAGGCCTACACTTAAAAGCTCATGGATTTCAGCTGGTGCAGAAGGGCGAGTTTTACTTTTTCTTTGCACGAGCACCACGATTTTATAGAAGCCTACAGAAAATGAAGGAGAGGCTCTTCAGGCACGAGTCACATCACCCACAAAGCTACGGACTTGGAGCTAAACGACTGGGAATAGCAGAGGACACAACATCCATTCTTCACCTGCCCAGTCCCGAATTTCATTGCTACAGGCTGGTTGGCTTGGAGTCTGGATCTTAACAGTCTGAAGAATTTTCACTCAGTTATACTCACCACCAGAGCGGGATGCAGAGCAGCCCAGGTAAAGTAAGTGCCAGCAGCAGCATCCGCCAGTCTCTGATGAAGTAAGCAAACAGTGGCAGCAACATGTAGCCAAATGCATAAAATATGCAAACGCCTAGCGTGCAGAACAGCACACGAATTGATTTGCCAAGAATTTCTGTGCCTGTTCAAAACAACAGAGTAAAGATTAGTATTTTAACGTCATAGCAACCAAGTTAGTTACCAAAAATACCTCTAACAATTGGATACTGCACCGGATAGTTACAATATATGGCACGCTCTGCCAGCCAGTTTTAGAGGCACCACAGATCCGTTCCGTGTAGAGATCCTGCATCAACTCATGTAATTATATGTAGAAAAGCAAGAGAACAGTGCTGTACAGTATTTCTGTAGCTCAAAGCAGCTAATAATTCTGTAATTTTATCTTCTCAGAATCTCACATTTTACTTGAGGAGCTAAAACCACCTGACACACTACGAACATCCACAGCAGTTAACCTCAGCTTGATCTCTACAGGGTCCTCTCCAGCTTATGGAGAGAGACCACCTTCTGCAAAGGGTAATTCAGAGCTGCCTAAATTAGGTTCTTGAACTGTATCACCTTCTAAAAGACTATTTCACTATTAGCCAAAAAACCTCACAGTCTTTTGGTGTACCCATGCGGAGTTCTTGTCGGGTCACCAACAGAGGCCAGGCTACTGGCAGTGGAGTTAAATGAGTGAACGGGGGTCAGTGCTTCCCTTGGAAATGCTTTGGGACCTGCAAATCAAGAGACATAGAGAGAAATATAATCTTCCTCGTTTCCAGAAATCAAGGAAGATTACAGAAGCTGCGTCAGGATGTCTGCAGTGAGGTTCAGCCCAAAAGGAATTTCTTGTCAACACTTGGTACCTTGGACAGTGAGGCCACCGTAAAATAATTAATAATTTAAGAAAAAAAAATATCTCAGATTCATAAATTAATTCACATTCTCACAACCAAATATGGTGTTAGTTACTGAAAGTATACTGAAAGTATACAAAGTGAGAATCATTACGCCACTGAAATGTTTACTATGGGCTGTTTAAAGGAGACTTTATAATGCTTGCTCTCTTTTATTTTTTCTTTTGCAAGTTTTTAAATCAAATAGGAATTTAGGCCCCAAAATGGACAACAGATATCCCTAAAAAAATCATGTCCTACATGTCTTATCTCTCCAACTAGAAGATGGATTTTCTTTTGAATAATCAATTTCTGTTTTTTTGCTTTTTTAGGATGGTAAGCCACAGAATTAATTCAGATTGCACCTCTATGAACTTGAAACTTCCAAGGAGAGAACGAATTATCCGCGTGTGGTGAGGACACACTCTTAACAGTGTTGCTTGGCAAAACAAATCAACCCTAAGCCAGTACTGAAAAGGAGCAGGAAAAGCACAAAACAAAGAACACATACTGTGCCCAGCAGGACTTTCATACCAAGAACAAATGCTGCCACGTAGTTAGATATCTGTCCCATGCCGACCAGCACAAAGAACACTGAAAACATCTCCCAGCTGGTAGAGAAGACCTGTATGAAGCTGAAGCCAGTCTGCATTGCCATAGTTGCAAACAGCACATTCTTCCTGCCAAATCTTCCATGGACAGATTAAAAAAAAAAAGAAAAAAAAAAGTTTATACGACATCATGAATGAAATCTTCAGAAACAAACAAACAAAAATATTACTCATATGCATCCTTAAGGAGATACAAAACATCCGCAAAAAGCAGAGGTTCAGGAAACATGACACAGGCACAACTAACCTAAATACATTAAAACAATCCACTGGCCAAGAGAAAATAATATTTTAATGGCTTCTAGTTAAGTTGCCTTTACAGATGTGCTGGAACACTATTCCTTTCTTACTGGTAGGATGAGCAGGGAGACAAATCACTGGGAGCACATTATTTAAAACGCAGGAATATTAGATGAGATGCTCCTTCTCTGTGGAGGCACACAGTTCATGACAGATCGGTGTGTTAAAAAAGAAAAAAAGGAAAGCTTCTGGAAGAGAGGTAAACCTCAGGTTTGTAAGATGAAATTATCAGTAAGTGATCCCATGCTGCAATCTTCATTTCACTTGGTAAAAAAAATGAACCAATTTAAGGGACTCTAGGATTTCTATCAATGAATTATTAAAAAAAAAAAAAAAAGAGAAACTAAACTAAAGCCAACCCATCAAACTCTTTTTAAGAGTCAGTGCTCACGTCCTGGCCTGAGCAGCCCCACACCACAAGTCTGGAGCCTGTGACAGGGCATCTGCTGAGTGCAGGCTCACATAACCTCACCCTGAAGTTAGGACTTGCCTAGGAGGTCCACAGCTGGTACCACAAGCCTCAGGTAGGTCACAACACGTTAAGAACAGACCATTATTTGAACCTGAAAAATATTTTGTTCGTCTCAATGTCACGCCTGGCCAGCTGGCTGCAGGACCTTCTGTACCAGATGGGCAGATGGCAGCAGCAGAACACTGTACGCAGGCTCTTCGCGGGGCTGCTGGATGCACTTGGCCTCTTGACCGTGAGGTGAAGAGGCTGTTCAGTGGCTGAGAGCTGCGTCGGTGGCGCCTCAGCTGCACCTGCTGAGGATCTGGGTCACCACGGGAAGGAGCTGTGGGAGACTCCCGTGACTCTGAAGATGGGAAGCTTGTGGCTTCTGTTTCTGCTTCACCATGGAAGACATTCGCCACCCTTGTAGCAGACAAGGGGCTGGAAGCTCTTCTGAATGCAGCACCCGAGCCCTGCGGCAGCACCGTGATGAAGGCGTGGGAGAGTCCCCACGGCCAAGAGGGGAAATCGCCCCACACCTTCCAGTGCTCTGCCCCGGGAGGAGCTCTGCCTGGGGAGGGCTGACAGCCAGCTGGGAGCTCACGGGTCAGCGTTAGCGGCAGACCGACGCCAGCACCGCTGTGGGTGTCTGCTGCAGACCACCTCATCAGAAAGAGGTAAACGTGGCCTTCTTCAACCAGCCACAGGGAAGCCTCATGTTCAAAGGCCCTGGCTGTCACGGGAGACTTCAACCAGTCCAATACCTGCTGGAAGGACAAGGCCCAGGAGGTTTCTGGAGTCAGTGACAACTTCCTACCACAGACGATGGAGAAGCTGACAAAGGGAGACAGTGCTGGGCCTCATGCTTGCAAATAAGGGAGAACTGTTTGGGGATGTAACGGTCAGCAGCAGTCATGGCTGCATGATGGTGAAATGCACAATCACGAGGGGAGGAACGAGGCAGAAGGCAGGACCACAGGGAGAGCAAACACTGGTCTGACCAGGGATCTGCTTGGAAAAATCCCATGGCATATGGCTCTGGAGAGAAGAGTCCAGGAGAGCTGGACTCAGTGCCTCCAAGCTCGAGATTGCTCCAGCCTGGCGAGCAGGAAGCCATGCAATGGCCCTGAATGATGCTACAAGATTTGTGGCCTAGGGATTACATTTCAAAGAAATAGAAAGGCTACATGTAAATCAGCAAATTAGAGGCCCACGTATGGTTCTCTGGGAATCAGGAAGACAGCACACAATGCAATGCACAGCAAATTCCAGGGAGAGAATCAGAAAAATCAAGCTCAAACAACTGGCAACAGCACAAAATTAATGGTGTCTCCCACTTTTATTTTTTAAAATGTTGGTACTGATAAATAAGAAATCCTTGCTTCTCTGGGGTACAGCTGGACAGCATTCATGCTTTGCAGCTTCCACAAATGCAGATCATTGCTCTTAGAGGCTGCATCTGATGATGAGGAAGAAAAGCTATGGGTGTTTATAAAAAAGTTTGACCTCAAAAAAAGGAAAACAAGCCTCAGGGATCTCTCTGAACATAGTCCAAAGTAATTCTAAGGGAGTGCCATTGATCTGATTTTCCCAGATGAAACTTATGCCCTACACCTGTTTTCTGGAATAAAACCAGTTTGCTCCAGAAGTGATTTTGCTGAACAAATAAACAGGTAAAAAAGGCAACACCCACTAACAATCTTTGTAACATTCTGTTCTAGTTCAAGACATTTTCTCTATACACTCTGTGTACATTCAGATTAGACAGTCACAGAATAAAGACACGTTAGCAGTTGCAGAAAGACACAGGAAACTTCACATACAAGAACTGCTTACAAAACAGCATCAAACAGAGCCAGCAGCTCTGGTGTATATACTTTACTTGTCTGAGAGCTGTCCCGATATGAAAGATCCAAGCAGGACACCCACAAAGAACAGGGAGGTGCTCAGGGGTCCCTTCCAGTCGTCATCACATACAAGATTCCACTGCAGGGAGACAGAACATGGAAGTTTTCCAATAAACAGGATTTCCCCTCCCTCCTAAACACCTTGGCTGAGCCTGGGTGAAAACATACCCTTTGGACAGAAAACCTCCATGCGAGAAATGAGTAACTAACCTACCGCACAGATGCAGCTTCGTGAAAAATCACGGGAAGGGACGTGGGGCAGCATGGGGCAAAGGCCACCTGCCCTGAGCCACCTCGGGAGCCATCCAGCCGAGGCCCCAAGGCTACCCTCACGTGTGACCCACGTGACTTTTACACAGGGGATGGCTGCGGTATTTCCCCCGCACATATATGGGCGACAGTAACTAATAATTTCATAATTCACTGGGTTCTGCTCCCTTTCAAAGGCTCTGCAGCCCCTTAAACCACTGCAGTTCTGCTGATTTTGGAAGGAGAATGGACCCCAAACTTGATTTCCCTGCATATGGCAAAGTTTGCCATTAAAAACACACATTTCTAATTTAAGAGAAATTGAACTACAGAAACGAGACTACAGAGAAAAAAAAAAGCGCCTCTTCCTTTATTACATTTTAATATGGTTTTGAGAGAGACTGGAGGCTGTTCATTCCTCATCAGGAGCCTAACGTCAATTATCATCTTCGGAATACAAAGTGAAATACACACCAAACAAATCAAGATTTCCACAATGAAAACAAAAAGGAGGAAGAAACCAAGATATTAATTAAATGAAGGTTGCAATACTTTCCAATCTCCTACCCACTTCAGCCTGATGTTTTTGAAATAGGACTAGTGTTATTTTTGTATCTATGCCAACAGCTATTATTGAAAGAATCTTAATTTTATTTTGGTTATTTGGGGGGGGGGGTTTGGGGGGGGGGGGGAAGTGTGTAAACATCAGAAGAAAGGACAAAACCCAGCAGGAACACCTTGTCCCCTACCTCCCTGCTGGAGAATCTCCCAGAGCTCTGCCAGTCCTGCCACACCACCCTGCAGCCCGCTGGCAGAGGGCAGGAGGTGCTGCAGCCCCACCAGGGAGGAATTTAGAGGCAGCCAATGCTTCTGACGCGAGGCCAAACCCTCCTCAGCTTAGTTATTCAAACAGTTCCCACAGGGCCCCTTCTGATGTTTTAGGGATGGAAACTTTTCATTTTTAATCTGTATTTAAAAAGCTGGAATGAAAACCGTCACCCTGACACCAATAATTAATCCCCCTTGCTCCCCAATTACAAATAATTAAGAAGAGTGTGTTTTCCTCTCAGGTTTTGGTTTTTTTTTTTTAGAATTCCTCCTGGAACACCTCCTAAGATTTGCCCCTGCAGCTGCTGCGTGTCCCAGCTCCTCCATCCACCTCATCCATGGTCCCACGCCAGTGTTTTGCTTTGTCTGCCAGCCCCGTCCCCTCAGCATTAATCCTCTGACCCCAGGAATCCCACAGCCCTCAGTCTATTAACACCTGACACTACAACTACAGCCTCGTGTACGTTTTAAGGCTGGGGGATCACTAAAAACCATGCGCTGAATGACCACCACCAGCAATCGCCTTCGGCGTCCAGATCCCTGCTGCAAAACTCAGCTGAGCCACCACTTGCTCCATGGAAGAGGCTCCAGTTTTGAGTTGGAACTGGAAGTTTTTCTAGAGATGAATGATGCTCATTCATGCAGCCTGCACACTCAGCAGTTTGTGTAACTTTAGCTACCAACCTGTTGACAGTCTTATGAATTCACCTCACCATGATTATTTTTTTAAGGTCACAGGAGCAAACCAACACCAATTTGTAACTGTACTCAAGTAATTTCTTAACCTCTCCTTCAATAAATCTGTGGTCCTGTGTCTGAAGAACCTTTATATCAGATTTCATAGTCTTTGACATTATTCTTGCACTTATTCCCCAAACTTTTCCAGCCCCACACCACCTGAAGCACAGACACCAGCACTCCATGCAATGCCCCAACAAATCCTACCAACCCCATCAATTGTGCATCATTACACAAGTTCCTTTCAGAATTGTGGCTAACACACTAACAAATTTATACCACACATGTAAGGGATTTAACTTACTATAGTTCTCAATATCATTGGGATTAAAAACTCTAACATTTATAATTAAATCTGTATTTATTCAACAGAATCTGTACTCCATATATAAATTAAAGAAAGTTTGAGCAGTTCCGTGATGATCACAGAGGCTAATCCAGCCAGGAAGATTCAACGAAATGTATCTGGCACCTTGCAAATATACAGCAAATGATCCTTATCAAATTCACACAGGCCAGAGGTTTCAGTGATTGATCGTAGGTCTTCACAGAATGACGCTTAGAGGCAAACCAATCCCACTCCCAGTATAGATCCTGCATTAATAAAGACTTGCCTATTCACAAAGAATCATCTTTGTATCAGCTACTGGAGCCAGACATCGCAAGTAACAGAACTAAAATCTTAACTAGCCAAACATCTAGCTTAGTGATTTGTAGTCTAAATAAGTCATTATTTTCCAGCTGATCACTCCATGCTTGTGAGTTAGCCATCTTTTTTCACCTATCTTACACCCTGTATGCTGGCACAAGGCTGTGCAACGCTCGGACTTCCAGACACTGGCATGCCTGTGCCCAGTAAAAAACTTTCTTCAGACCACTGAGGTTGAGATGTTGCTTGGAAAAGTTCACGGTATTAAAATGTTTTGCACTCTTCTGCCAAAAGCTTCTTGCATTAGCAGGTGGAAACATACTGGTGCTTAAAATGTTGCAATGGTTACCGTCTTGTTTTTCTGTCTGCTCCTTAGGAGCTGTTAGACTGAGGATCACTTGAACCAGACACCAAAGTGAACTTCACTATCAAATTTCCAAGGGGGAAAACTACCTTGGTTGTGCAATAGCAGTTATTTACAGACTCCACAGATGCACAACAATGAGAACAAAGCGATTTTAAGGTCTGTTAACCTTTGCCCTGATAAAGGAATGCTGAAGTCTTCAACTTTTTGATGACTCACCAACAAGGTCGACCACACTGCCTGCTCCACAGTGGCATCAGTCTTCCAGAACAATTCTGCAACCAGACCCTTCCCTCAGCTGCACGTGGCCCAAGAAGTCGTCACCGAAGCACTGCTGTTAGAGGCCCAGCATCGCAGAGAGCGAGGGTCCCAGTTACTGATTGAATCTCACTGCTGGCAGTGCTGTTTTGACACAGTATACTGTGACCCAGTGCTCTAAAAATCATGTGCTATTTTCACTTCTTAGTACTCTCCGAGTTAGCCAGCTGTAACGGCCTTTGCCCCAGTCGATGAGATAAGGTTAACCTCAGCAAGGTATCAGGGTGCCAAAGAGAAAAACAATTCAGCTTTGTTGTGAAGCACTGAGCTCCTCCTGGTACCCAATGCTCAAGACAGGACACAGAGCATTCTCATTCAATTTGATTTATAACTTTAAATGATGACATCCTTCTGTTGTGGTCTAAACTCATCTTCCTAGGCAGACAGATCCTTTGGGCTGTAGCTACTTCCTGAATAATTAATAAGGCTGGAGTAATGTCTTCAGCAGCAGCCTCACACCTAATGGCAATAATCACTTATGCACCAGAGGTGAGATGCGTGGTTAGCTACACACCCCGTAACAGATTCCTGGCTGATAACAGCCACTGGTGAGGACAGGCGGGAAGAGGGCTGGGGAAAAGAGAACAGGCTATGGACACGACCAGAAAATGCAGACAGCTTGGGGGAGAAGGCCAGGGGACACCACAAGGGAGAGGCATTGAAGCAATTGCTTCCTGAGCACAGCTTTGGGGCCAGAGTATGAAGCAGGTCTAGGTATTTACAGTCTTCCTTAAGCATCTCTTCAGGAGTACATCTTCCAAGTTCTGCTTCATCTCTTACACGTCGAGTCAGCGACCTGGAACCACACCTCCAAATCCCTTACTATAAGGCAAGCCCAGTTATAAAACTGAAAAGGACAAAACCCCTAAGGTTCCAGCCTTTTATCACAACATAACCTGAACAAGAGGTATCCTTGCAGGTTTAGCTAGGATCACACTAAACAGCATACGTAGAAGTGTGCAGATCTCACTAGACTGGTATTTCCTGTATTCTGCCTTACACCTTTCCAGTATTAAACTGAACGTTAATATAACACCTCTAGAAAAAAAGAATACTACCCTACAATTTTCACACAAACGGCAATCACAACGAAATTCAGAGTCCAAGATGAAATACCTGAATTCTTTAAACTGCAAACTGTGGACCAACCCTCAAAGCCTAAAACAACAGTGTCAAACGACAATTGAGAGGCAAGTTTAGGCTGAGAGGATGCCACCAGTCCAGCTGGATGCTGCCATACAACAAGTAAAAAATTTTGTTCTTCTAAATTCTCTAGGCACTTCAAAACCTTGAGGGGTAAAGAGCAACTTCTTGTGTAGAGGCTCTGCATCCACTGAGCTTGCAGAATACCACTTGCCTCGAAAGAAGAGCTGGCACCTCATGAATTACTGACAGTAAATCCCAGAGTGGCTCTCATCCAGACACCAACGCAGATCCCTTATGCTGCTTCACTTTCACTGCAATTATATAGTCTTGTAAGAGATGACAAAACAGGAAATAACAAAATTCTAGCTGCTAACATCAAAATGCCTATCCTATTTAAGCATAAAATTTGCCCGATACATTTAATGCGTCAGAGCATGGAAATTGCAAGTCTAATTATAGGGGAGCTCTTCAAAACATCAAAAGTTCTTGCAGTACAGCATGACAGCAAACAAATACGTATCACCACCAAATACGTTTGGAAAGTTACAGAAGCAGTTGCAAGACAACCAACAATATAATTTAGGGCCTCAGTTGAAGAACGCGTGTTTCTCAGATTAGAGAGAACTGTTCCACTGCAGGAGAACTTGCACCTCCCCAGTACCGTTACTATCACCCTTAACAAAGATGAACTATGACAAATACAAAAGCTGCTAGAGCCTTACTCAGTTACACAAGGAAAAGCCTTACATGAAAAAGCATAATATATCGTGTCCTCACACTCTTTATTTATTTAAACTTTCCTCTCTCTTGCTGAGAATAACAGGCATGATTGAAAAATGAGGTGGGACAGTCCCATGTGTGAATATTATCTTTTTAAAATCAACATTAGCAAGAATTTTTGCAGCTAATCCAATATCCTGTACTCCCTCCTACCACTTGCTTCTCTCTGCAAGTAGAGGCAGGTTCTTAAAAAGAAAAATCTTGCAGTCTCACAACTGCTTATGACCTTTGATTCAGAATCTGGTCTTGTTCATATCCATATGAACTCCCTGCTTACTTCAGAGTTGTGAGTGTTATTAAACACCTTCGCCTCTGAAAATACATTTGTAAATTCCAAGTATTTAGAAGCTCTAGACGCTGAATCCTATTATCTTAACAAACAGAAGTCTTTATCTACAAAATATACATTCTGCTCAATTTCTTCTCTTGTAGTTGTTTTAAATGTTTACAGAGGTAAAACTTGCATAGAGCAGGAAGGAAAGTGCCAAATGTTTTATAATTCCAGTGCAGAAACTTAACTCTCTCCCATACATCACATTTTTGAGATGGTTGGAGAAAAAGGGCGCTGACATCAGAAACTGGAAAACATGAACCAAGTTTTAATCTAAAAGTAAAGACAGCATGATGGGAACATGACCTTGTCATTAATTGTCCAGAGTACTTCTAAAAGAGAAGTTTCCATTTTAACAATATCAACTGCAGGCCTATCATTCTTTAATAATACTAACCCTATTGTATGCTGCAAGGTCAAGAAACGTCTGTACAAGTCTGAGGAGTCCTGCATTACGTGCTTCTGAAATCATGCTCTGAAAACCTCAGCCCATTTTTTACATCCGTCAGGTATTTGTATTTACTTACCAAAGAAAACTAGACTTTTTTTTTTTTCCTTTCTTCTGACAAGACTATTAATAAAAAGATTTTGTACCTGAAAATCTCCTAAATGTCTTTCCATAGCTTTATCAGCTCCTGGGGCTGAGAAGCTGTCAGTGTGAACTCCAGCCAGAAAAGCAAGCAGATACTAACCTACAGCAAGAAAAAAGACGCACCTGTTTTAAAAGATGAGAAATAATGGAGGTGACTAATACTAATGAAGTGTTCAGTGAGAGCTGAACCCAGATGACACAGGCTTGATTTACATGTGAGCTCCTGGCTCTGCTCTTAGAAAAGCCTGTGGAAATTACCATGTCTAACGTGTTTTTATTTTGGTAAAGCAAATCCCTCTGCCTTCCAACAAGGAGTGAACACTGAAACCTCCAGTTCAACAGCTGTACCACAGCACCCATTTGTGCCATTCCAGACGCCCCCACTGCAGTCTCCTCCACCTGTTTCACAAAGGTCTGGTATAACCCACGGATCTTTGGGGACAGGGCTCTGACAGCGCAGCAGGGCACTCGAATCCCTGGCGTGCTGGGAACAGAAACCTCTGGACCGTGGTACCTGGCCAGAGCTTTCTCTGCCTGCATGTCGGTACAGGACAGAGCACCAGCCCTGCGTCGAGCCTCGGGCACTGGGCAACTCCCACCGCGCGCATCCTTCCCCTGCAAAAGCCAGACAGGCTCTGAAGCTTGTTAAGAGCACAGCAGGCAGAAACAAGCAGCTCCGGAGTACAGCACCTGCAGTGAATTGATTTCAAATGGATGAACAATGCCACGTTTTTAGAAATAGAGGATGAATATGTGTATATAAAATTCAGCGTCTATTTACGTTTCAGTGTGCAAGAATTACTCCTGTATGGACCAAAACGTTTTGGCTGCTGTATCATCTAACATCTTCTCATTAGATCGTATTTCTAGTCCACTCATGCTCTTAACTCTACTGCTCAATTCTATTCCCAGTTATTCAGTATAGCCCCACAACAGATATGACTGGTAGAAGTTAGCTTTTCCCCTTAATTACCCCGGCTTTATTCCTTTTACTACCACATATGAACTTTTATTACTCCTACATTCTTTTATGTAATTTATGGAGGAATAAGAATGACACAGATGGCTTCTTGAGCCAAAGTAAAGCTTTTCTTATCCCCTGTGCTACAGCATTTCAAAAAGTAAAAGACAGAAAGGGATTCTGTTACACGGGAGCTGGTTAAATGCTGCAGCCTGGCTAATAACAACCTTCTGTTGTTAGTCTGTGTGAGAAAAGGAAGTCTCTCTTCAAATGAGAGGGAACTGAATGTTTTAAGTCTCCCCTGAAAAGCAGAGCTATAAACGAGGACTTTCTCCAGAGTCATAAGAGAGTCAGCAAAAAGCTTTCTTAAAAAGAATTCCCCCTTCCCCCTCCCAGTGTTGGCTACAGAAATCTGGGACAAAGGTCCTCATGATTATTCAGTAAGTTAGAGATATGCAACCAAACACAAGATTAGTGAATCATAAAAGCAGCAGCACCAAGCCAAGAAATTAAACACGTTTAACACCGAAAACCTGTAAGTATGTGAAAGGCCACAGCTCTTGCAAAACTCACTCAGAAACATTAATATTAAAGGGAGAACAAAATACTGCCTCAGTGCACGATGTCTGGGCAGACAAACACTACCTCCCACAGACACAAAACATCTGCCAAGCCATACAGACAACGGGCCAGAGCTGCTGGGGAGTCTCAGCAAAACGTCAGCAGCTCCTGTTTCCTATAGATTATGAGACCCCTGGATATCTCAAGACATTGTATTTTACAGCAAACCAAAGCTCAGCGAAGAAGCTCCAGAGACAAAGAATTGGCTGAAACCAAGTCTAAGCCAGGTCAAGCATTATAGTAAGGCACTTGGAACAAAACCCGTGAGCAGGACTAGCCCAAGAAGATGCCAACTGCCTTACGCTGCCTTAAGGACACCTTAGCCTTCCACAACAGTGCATTTCAGCAACCACCAGGGTCTAGAAATTCAAAACAGCTTTCCTCTTTGAGGAAAACAACAGTTCTTTAGAAATAGCCGAGGCAACGCCTTGTGTCACTTGTCAGAATCACTCAAGCCCCTGCTGCTGGGGCAGTTCAAGGGAAGTTTCCAACAATTCCAGTGTCACCATTTCCATACCTCCCTGTGCTGGTATGGCTCCTCTCCCACGTTCCCTTTCTCACCCCAGTGCTCCTCCTTCTCCTGAGGAAGATTTCTGTGCTCAGATCAGCTTATGGTCATTAAGTACTAACATCCATCACTATTCCAAACACCCACCAACAAGCCATTTCGCAAAGCAAGGAATAAAGGCAAATGCAGTTCCAGCTCTGTAAAACCCCTCCACAGGCACAAATAGGCAGTGGGACTCTACAAATGGTTTGTGAGCTTTCTCAAAAAACTCGTCCACATTTTGAAATGCAGGTATTCCTCAAGATGTATTTCCTTGTATCTTAAGTCAACCAGCACCTGTGGGTCTGTCCAGCTTTCACCTGAAACAAGAGGGACAATCAGCACAGCTTCAGCTTTGTCTGGCTGCCCTGACCAGAGAGCCGCCTTGAGGGGTGTACGTGAGCAGAGGAGAACCTGCCCTGTGCAACAGGTGAGTGGGGACACCAAAGCAGTGGCCGTGACCAAAACAGAGGCATCGTGGGCACAATGCAAAGTTCAAGGTCCTTTTGGACACATCATCAAACCAGGGCTCCCCGACTGCTGCATCTTGCACAACTCAGGGTGACTTCAACCACCTTTTTCTTTTTTAAAGAAATAAACCAAACTCTTTTGATATTCCGAGTTCAAAGACTTCTCCGAACCACCAAGTGAGCTGAACCCCTGGTCCCTTGCTCCAAGCTGCCTGTAGAGATACCAGATGAGACCCGGTAAGCAGTTACCCTACCCATGCTGTGCTAGTTAAGGAACCGAGACCGCTTCTGCAAGTGGAAGCGAGCAGCAGCTCTCAAAATAAATTGAGCATGCCAGAGGTAACCGCAGGAAGATGTCCAGGCTGGCATCACGGGAAAGCCGCAGGACAAAGCTGGGCCACGATAACCAGAGACTTCTCGCCCACCCTTCCCGGCGCAGCCCCCCCCCGCTCCTCCCGCTGCCAGGGGACCCCGCTCCCGCCGCCGCCGCGCACCTCGGTGACGATGGTGGAGCGGTAGACATCGCGGCTGTACTTCCAGCCGTCCAGGCAGGGCTCCTGCTCCAGAGACCCCAGCTCCACGTCGGAGCCGGGCCGCAGCCCCAGCGCCGAGAAGTTGGCGAGCGCGGCCAGGCGGTACCGGCGGCAGCGGCTGGGGACCGCCCGCCCCCCGCGCAGCTCCAGCGGGATGCTGGCGTTCCGCCACTCGCCGCTCAGGTTGGCCCCGCGGGGCACGGCGCACCGGTGCTCGGGGGTACCGGCCAGGAA